CCACCCAGGCGCCCCAATACTGGTTTAAACCCTGCACTACTTTCCTAACACTGATCCTGAAGGACTTTCCCAAATGTGGTTTTGTTAACTGTAAAGAATGTTATTCCCAACCATCTCTGAATGGCATCCTTCAAGAGTCAATTCAAATACACATTATCCCCTTCCTTAAATGACAGCACCATTCTCTGTCCTTTTGGAAAAAATTCACTTTAAACTTCATATTGTAGTTAGGTGCCAATTAAGCAAGAACCATTCTTGATTTATCACTGTACCTCAGCCTATTGTACCCCATAACACCTATCTCAGTACCTTGCCTTTTGGAGGTATCCATTGTCTGCTGACTGACCAAATGCGTGCATTCATATAAATAAGTGGATGGATGAATAGAGTTCTTATAAAGTTCTAGTAGTATTAAGGGCCAGAATCCTTCACTAAAAGGTGATCTCTTCAAGGTTTAAGATTGATATTATATATATTTTTTATTCTCAATACTTAGTTAACATGGTTCTGGGAGACTTGTAAGCTAAGTACACAGTAGATACCCAGTAAGATCTTTGCAAATGGAATTGAACTAGGTGGCTTCACACCTAAGTGATTCTCACTGTGTCAACCCCAAGAAAGTGAACAGGGTCTCTGACCCAGCAAATAGCTGTTTATATCCTGACTTGAATAAAATGTTGACTCTTATAATTCGACAGCAACTCCCTTAACAGAGACCCATTTATTCGTTTAATTATTTGATTCTTTGAACCATACTATAAGTTGTGATTGATTTATGTGTGATAACTTTATTCTAGACACTGAAGGGGAAAAGAAAGCAATCAGTGAGAACAGATACATGAAAAGATGCTCAACATCACTAATCATCAGGGAAATGTAAATCAAACCCACAAAGAGCTACCACCTTACATCTGTCAGAATGGCTAGTATCAAAAACAAATAACAAGGATGTGGAGTCAAAAGGAACCCTCGTGTGCTATTAGTGGGAATGTAAATTGTTGTAGCCACTGTGGAAAACAGTAGGGAGGTTCCTCAAAATAGAGATACCATATAATCCAGTAATTCCACTACTGGGTTTTTACCCAAAAATACCAAAGTGCACTAAATTTGAAAAGATATGTGCATCCCTGTGTTTACTGCATCATTATTTACAATTGCCAAAACACAGAAGCACTTAAGTGTCCACCGACAGAGAAGTGGATAAAGAAGATACGGTATATAGACAATGAAATATTATTCTGCCATAAGAAAGAAAGGAATATTGCCATTTGGGACAACATGGATGGACCTAGAAGGTATTATGCTAAGTGAAATAAATCAGAGAAAAACAAATACCATATGATTTCATTTATATATGAAATCTTAAAAATAAAAAAAGCAGAAACAGACCCATAAATACAGAGAACAAACTAGTATTTGGGGTGCGGGGGGAGAGGGCAAAATGGGTGAAGGGGAGTGGGAGGTACACACATCCAGTTAAGAAATTAATGACTAGGCATCATGGGGCGCCTGGGTGGCTCAGTCCATTAAGCTTCTGACTTCGGCTCAGGTCATGATCTCATGGTTTGTGAGTTTAAGCCCCACATCGGCCTCTGTGCTGACAGCTCAGAGTCTGGAGCCTGCTTCGGATTCTGTGTCTCTTTCTGTTCCTCCCCCACTCATGCTCTGTCTGTCTCTCAAAATAAATAAAGAATAAAAAAAATAAAAAAGAAAGAAATTAATGTCATGAGGATAAAAGGCATAGATAGCACAGGGAATATAGTCAATGGTATTGTCATAGGGTTGTATGGTGACAGATGGCGGCTACACTTGCTGTAAGCAAGCATAACATATAGACAAGTTGAATCATAATGTTGTACATGTGAAACTAATGTAACATCGTGTGTAGACTATGCAACAATAAGCAGGGAAAAAAAAGAAATCTGTGAGAAAAGCAGACCTCTCATGTTTACAAAGTCTCTCTCCTTTTTCTCCTGTTTTGCCAGGCTGTGACAACATGTTGATGGGCATAAAGTCTCTGAAAATAGTGAAGAAGACTATGGATACACATGGCTCTTGGATGAAAGATGCTGCCAGCAGTTCCCAAAAGGTTTATTTCCTAATCGGATCCAGAAACAAAACTCTGTGGGAATTTGCAAACATGCGGGCATTCATGGAGGATAGCACCAAGCCAGCCCCACGGAAGCTCATCCTAACGCATTCCTGGCAGGGAACAGGCCAAGTGATCCACAAAGGTTTTCTGTTTTTTCACAACCAAGGGACTCTCAATGAGATAATCAAATATAATCTGCAGAAGAGGACTGTGGAAGATCGAATGCTGCTCCCGGGAGGGGCAGGCCGAGCGCTGGTCTATCAGCACTCCCCGTCAACATACATTGACCTGGCTGTGGATGAGCATGGGCTCTGGGCCATCCACGCAGGGCCAGGCATCTCTGGCCATTTGGTTCTCACAAAAATTGAACCTGGCACACTGGGAGTGGAACACTCATGGGACACCCCATGCAGAAGCCAGGATGCCGAAGCCGCATTCCTTTTGTGTGGGGTTCTCTATGTGGTCTATAGTTCTGGTGGCCATGGCCCCCATCGTGTCACCTGTGTCTATGATCCGCTGGGCACTATCGGTGAGGAGGATCTGCCCAAACTGTTCTTCCCCAGGAGGCCGAGAAGTCATTCCGTGATCCATTACAACCCCAGAGATAAGCAGCTCTATGCCTGGAATGATGGAAACCAGATCATTTACAAACTCCAGACAAAGAGAAAGCAACCTCTGGAGTAATGCGTTACAGCAAGGAGGAAAGGCACTGTGGCTGTGGACACTGCTCTCCAGGACATTGAGACCACAGCCCCTTTATACTATCGTGTCCCTCTGATCACAGACAGGCATAGGGTGTAGAAGCAGGCTTGCATATGCATCCTTCCCCGGATGTTATGGCCTGAGGTGTTTTCCAAGACCTTAGACGAGAGTCTGTCATTCAGACATTTTCTACTTCCATCACCCGTCCAAACCTCCGGGCTCTCTAGGCCTTCCACATTCTGATCCAGCTTACGTCCATCCTTTTCTTTGCTCCCCTCAGCCAGCAATTAGAAATGAAGGCCACTGCCTAGTACTCCTGGCTTCCTTCCTGGCCTTTCCTGAAGCTCTTTCCTCTTTCATAAATACCTGTCTTTTTTCTTCCATCTGTCAGTGCCCCACTAAAGTACAATCTTTTCCTGATGTTGAATCTCCACTTCCCCTAGCTCTGCCCCGCCACCAAGCTAAGTAGATAAAATAGTGAAGCAAAACCATTCACATGTGAATACCACTTGCTGGTTACAAAGTGTTTGCACCTATGTACGTCATTTAATCCCCATCCCATGTCTTCTTCTGAGACATACAGAAGTCTTTATAATTGCCAGCTTAGAGATAATAAAAGTTGAGGTGAGCCAAAGTAACACAGCCACAAAATGAAAATAGGGCGAGAAGATACTGCAAATCCCATAGTCTTTCCATTGCCCAAGGAAGCATCGAATATGTGTGTTTGTTCACCCAACCTTTTGTAAGCAATACGTTCATCATTTCATCCAAAAAATAATGGTCTGCCCCCTTTGGCCATTTTTCATGTCTGCACAAGACATTCCTATAAGCCCTTCAAAAGCTACTTCCCCCAGAAAACCAGCCTAAGGGTGAGGACCCCCGCTGTAGCCTCATCTTGTTTTGCCTTCCCCTGTGTCTCTTTTCTTGCTAGAAACACAATAAAACTGACACGAAGCAAATAACCCTCATCAGGTTATATTTGCCTACGTGCCCTCAGCATACAAACTTTCAGGAAGTGCTGTCTGTGCTGGGATTCCCTGTGAAGCTCCCCAGCACACTGAGGCCCTTGGTAAAGATTCTGGAATCTGGATGGAAGCCAGGTAGCAGGCAAGCGGTTCCCTCTCACAGCAGGCATGCCAAGTGGCACAGGTGACAGAGGGCAGCTGTGCCTGTCCAGAGGGGCTTCTTCAAATCTTTCCCACGCGTTTGTCCAATTCAGCCTAGTGTGGGTCACAAGCTCAGGCTGTGGTGCCGGTCTGTGTCATGTGCTGAGGCCTCTGTCTTTCCAGGTTGGTCACATGAGAGGGTTGGCTTTGTGTGCCTGCAGCTGTTTTGCCAACTCTGCCAAGCTCAGGGCGGGACTGTAGGCAATGAAGAGACGTTCCCCCCCGCCCCCCATAGCATCTAAGTAGATCTCTGGCAGAATGGAATCACTCACCCCATGCATACAGCACAATTATCCACAGTTCTGATAGATACAGAGCCCCAATCTGTTGTGGAATGAGGCAGGTATGAATAAATAAACATGGCAATGTTCCCCACTCCATGGGTTTGTGGACATTACCTACTCCGTGGGTAAAATGACAATACCTATTTCACGGGGATAAGGAACATGGACTGCCTCGGGAGGAGGGTAGAGTGGGATTATCAGTGAATGGAATTATGTGTGAGTCCTGCACGCATAATTCCTCTGGAGGCACAAAGGAGGGTTGCCCTTCATCTGTGATATACTTTAACTTGTCGACTCTGCAGAGTGCACCTGCCACTAACAACACTCCCAGGTGCTTTAAATTCCTACAGCTAGAATCACTCTTTTAGGTCAAGACATTTTCTCCTTGTCAATGTGCCACTTTGCTTCCTTGGAGCCAGGGCAGCAAAGCATTCAGGCCCACGGATACTATCTTGGGCTTCTTTTGGGTGAATTGTTCAGCTCTGAGGTCTCTTGTTGGAGTTTAGTCAGGATGAAAGTCCCTATGGCCTATAGCAGTAGTTAAACTCGATTGCATGTAAGAATCGCCTGAGGGGCTTTTAAAACTCCTAATACCAGGCCATACTCCCAGACGATTAAGCCAGAACCTCTGAAGGTAGGACCCAGGCTGTATTTTTTTAAGCCCCCTCCCGCAACATGGTTCTAGAGTGTGAATAAGCTTGAGAACCAGTGACTTACACCATTTTTAAAGGTAATGTTAAAAAAGTAATTGTATAATTCAGAGAGCAGATTAGCATTTTCTAGGGACTGAGGCTAGGGCAGTGTGTCCACTGGGGCAATAACATGTGGGATTTGGAAACACCCATGAACTCATGTGAACTATAGTGCCTAGGTCTACAAAAGCCTCTGCTGCTATTTTAAGGAAGTGAAAGAGAACTGAAGGGTGTCCTGCTGTAACACAACTCTTGTGGGCCCCAGCCTTCCTCTGCTGGCTTTGCCTTTAGTCTGCTTCTGGCCAGGTTCCGGCAGTGACCAGAGTCTCATATTTGCAGGGTGGCTTAAGTTCTGTTCACATGTAAAAGCCTTCTGGGCACACTGGTAATTTCAGACCACCAGGGTAATTTGAAAAAAAAGATGTGTCTTACGGAGTTTGTCCAGCCTGTACAAATGTAGATAAAAACTGAAGCCAGGGCTGTAGTGACTCCGGCCAGAGTTCGGGACTATGCCAGAGTGTGCAGTGTAGATGCCATCTGCGGCCCAAAGGGATTTTAATCAGCTGAACTGAGCAACTGGTCCTGGGAGGCCCAGGCAAGGCAACAACCTAGCAGCACAACCAAAGGGGATTCAGGCCATACACTAGGGGAAGGTGTTGGACTAAGTCCCCAGGGCCCAGTCCCGCCTTGATTCCAGAACTTATTCCTGTGGTCAGAAGTCGCCAAAGCTCTTGGCCCTATGGAACCCCACCTTGGTGCTGAGCACAGAGAAGTGCTTCTTGTCCTTAGCTGTTCACAAGACAAGGCGCAAAGTGTCTTTAGTCGGGGCTGACCACTAGGGGGACCTCCACGCCAGGTCGCGGGGTTCGAGGGCAGCCGGACTCCAGTGGGACGCAGAGCCTTCCAGACGGGTTGATCAGAGACAGGGAATGAGGCTGCCTTCAGGCCAACCTCAACTTGGACTGGATCCTACGGGTCCGGGAAGTCCGGACACCCAAAGTGTTGCTACTCTGGGTGTGCCTCCAATCGGTTTTTCCGTGGCTTCTCTCTTTGCAACTCTAGATATAAATTGCTTTTCTGCTTCCTCGTTTTCATTTCCGACGGCCGGGGAATGAATGGTGCTGAAGGGCTGAAGAAGCCCAGGGGACAGGCAGCACCAGAGCCAGGAACCGCCCGTCGGTGTCTCCGGGACCGGAAGGGTGCAGGGCGGGGAGGCAACAGGAGCGGGGCGGGGCTCACGGGGGCGTGGTCTGCGGGAGGCGGGGCTTGTAGCACCGTCCAGGGGGCGGGGCCACGGCTGGGCTGACTAGGCGAAGGCAGGTTCGAAAGGGCGGAGTTGACGAGGCCGGTCCCCGAGGACAGGGAACCGGTGGCGGACCGGTCCCTGCGGACCGCCGCGGAGCCCGAGAAGGAAGGGGAGTGGAGGGGCGGTCCTAGGGGAAGGAGGGCGGGGAGAAGCGGGGGCTCCGGGACGAGCCTCCTGTGGGTCCCGCCCCCGTCACGTGGGCTCCAGACCCGGCCGCTGCCGCTCGGTCCGCTGGTTGGTCGGTCAGTTGGTCGGTGGGTCAGTGGCCTGCAGCTCGGTTCGCGGCTCTCATGTTCGGAGGTGGGAGGGACACGGGAGCGGCCCTCACACCTGAGCCGCCCGGAGAGGAGCCCAGCACCCAGGTCAGTGGGCTGTCCCCACGCCCCAGGTCCCCTGCGCGTTCCGGGCCGGGAGCCCCCCGCGGGTACATTGCCTAGGTAACCGAAAGCCCCCAGATTCAAGAACCACTCGAGGAGTGGGGGTCAGTGCCAGTTAGGGCCCCAGAGTGGGTCCCAGATGCGAGGGCAGGAACCCTCTTCCTCTTCTCTGGCCAGAAGACTGGGAGGAGGGTATAACTCCGGAGGAGGATTTGCTTCGAATTTTCACCCAACCCTGCCTGGGATCCATGGACATTCCGCGCCCCTGCAGGTGCCAGCATGGCCCTGGAGATGCGCTGGATGGTCATTCACTTCAGTTTTGTGCGGTATGTCACCGAAGCATCAGAGTAACTAGAGAGCACAAGTCGTGGGGGGGGGGGGGGGGGGGGGGGGGGGGGGGGGGGGGGGGGGGGAAGGTCAGGCAGCTTAGTGTCTCTTTGCCCAAGCATATCTGTTCAGTGTGGTCAGATGCAACGCCTCGACTGAGACCAACTCTATACTCTAATTGCAAAAATGCAACATGCCATCAAAGTCTCAAGCCACTGCAGTCCCAGAAGACTGCCAGATGGGGATGGTCCTACTCTCCCTCCTCTCCCTCATGACATCCCAACTCCAGACCCGCAGTTTTTCTTCAAATGAAAATAAGATTATGTATTTAAAAGCTAGAATTTCCAAAGTTTGTGTAGGATTGAAACAGGTATTCTAACTAGTGTTAAATCCTCTTAAAAAACAAACCCAGAGTGTTGTAGTTTGCTTTCAGAGCAGCTGGATATTTGGTATCGGTGGGTCCCCCTTTGCATATTTTGGTCTACTTCCTATCTTTCTCTCCATTTGTCTCTTTCCTTTCCCAGTTACTTAATTGATTATAATACAAATTGGAAGTGTTTCCAAATTGTATGTTGCATTTTGTGAAGTTAAATGCCCAACTACAGGAAGGTAGTTGGCTGTGCACAAAATTCATCTTCAAGATGTTCAGTCTTTGATTATTGTTTGTATCTGGAAAACAAAATATTATTTGATTTCGAGATTATTTCTCTCTTGGGGTTGGAAGGCAGCCCATTAGTATTCTGCTTAAATTCATATTTAAACAACTATGAAGTGGGAGATGAGAGAGATTAGTGCATTTCTCACTGCATTCATACATGATTTTATTCATA